ACTCGCAACTTCACCTGGCAATCCGTGCCCGCCGCCCCCGCCGCCCTGCCCCAGTCGCTGCCTCTCATCGCAGAGGAGGAAGAGGAATTCGCGACTGAGGAGGACGAGGTTGGGGAGGGCGCGTCGAACCAAGGTGGAGGGAGGGCGGAGAGAGAACCTGTGGATGGAGGACCAGGTTTCAACCTTGGCACGACGGCAGCCCCAGGGCCCGCGGGGCCGCCCGCGCGCGCAGCGCCGGCGGCACCGCCGGCCGCGCCCCAGGAGTCGGGCGCGGGCGACGCTGGCGATGGCGCCCCCTCGAGCAGGGAGAGCGCGAGCGTCGCCCCATCTACCACGTCGACCGGCACGGCCGATGTGGGCGGCGGCGAGGACGACCGCCGCAGCAGCAGCAGCCGCGGTAGCGGCGGCAGCGGCGGCAGCGGCGGCGACAGCAGTAGCCGCGGTAGCGGCGGCAGTGGCAGCGACAGCAGCAGCGGTGGCAGCAGCGTCGATGACGGCGGCAGCGACAGCAGCAGTGGCAGCGACAGCGAGACGGATCTCCCGGCGCTCTGTGGGCCAGAGGCCCGGCGGCTCGCCCGCTTCGACAAGCCGGCGGAACTCACCAGCCGCCGCACTAGGGAGAACCCTCGCCGAAATCCGAGGTACGAGTCGCCCCCGTCGCCGCCCACATCGGCCCCGTCGCCGACAAGTGCCGAAGCCCTGCTCGCCTCGGTGGCGAGCCTGCCCGACAGCAGCACGGAGGAGTTCACCCGCTGGATGCTCTCGGCAGTACTTCACGTGGCGGAGGGGCTAGAGGCGAGGGTGGTGCGAGAGTTGCTGTCCGAGCGCGCGCAGGAGGCCCACGCTGCGCGCCAAGAGGCGGAGGATTTCCTGCTGGGTACGGTGGACCTCATGCTCAACTCGCCAGACGCCTTCGAGACGGCTCTGGCGTCCCACGAGCTAAGTGAATCCCCCATAGGCAAGCGTCCGAGTGATGTAGAAGCCCCACCCATGACTGTAGCCGGCGTTGCCAAGTCTGTTTACCGAGAGGGGTGGGAACAGGCCATGAGGGAAGAGTTTGAAGGGCACTTGGGCACGGGGACGTTTTCATTCGTAGACGGTGCGCCAGAGGGGCGCAGGCCTGTGAGCTCAAAGTGGTGTTTTAGTTGGAAGACCAACAAGGAAGGGAAGATAGACACGTTCAAAGCGCGTCTGGTTGCTAGGGGGTTTTCGCAAATCCCGAACGTCGATTATTTCCATTCGTCTTCCCCTTGCCCCTCATCCGCATCCATTAAGCTGATGCTTGCGGTAGCGAACGAGAAGGGCATGAACCTCAATCACTGGGATGTGAAGCAGGCGTATACACACGCTACGCTAGACGAGGAGGTTTTTCTGAAGCTCCCCGCTGGGTGCGGGGACAAGTCGCATAAGATTGCTAAGGCTGAGCGTGCGATTTATGGTCTGAAGCAGAGCGGTAGGCAGTGGGGGTACCACGCTGCTGATACGCTAGTCGAGAACGGGTTCGAGCAATGCAAGGCGGACCCGTGTGTTTTCCGCAAGATGGTAGACGAAGTCGTGGTGATGATTATCGTGATTTATGTGGATGACATTTTGGTGGCTGGGTCTGACGAGGATTGCGAGGAGTTGCTTGCTTCTCTCAACAAGAAATTTCCCACCAAAAACCTTGGAGAGTGTCAATGGTTTGATGGGTGTGCCATCGAGAGAGATGTAGAGGCTGGGACTCTTAGAATCTCCCAAACCGCGTATATCGACAGCATGGTTGAACGCTTCGATGTGAAATCAACTTCCCGCATCCCCGCTACCCCTGGTGCCGATCTAGGGCCGAAGCGAGAGGATGAGGAAGGAGGGGAGTGGCCGGTGAGGGAGGCCATCGGCAGCATGATGTGGGTGTCGACTTTCTCGCGTCCAGACGTCTCGTTCGCCGTGCGTGCGGTAGCGCGCCACGCCCACGCCCCGGCGAAGCGGCACTGGGATGCCATACAGAAGATCCTCGGCTACCTGAAAGGGACGAGGGACCTCGGCATCACCTACCAACGGGGATCGGGGTTAGGGCTGGCCGTGTACGTAGACGCTAGCTACGCCGACACGGAGGATAGGCGTTCGGTGTCAGGGTTGGCGACGACGGTTGGAGGTACCGTAGTCAGCCATGGTAGCAAGACGCAGAGTATCGTGTCTTTGTCTTCAACGGAAGCCGAGTACATTGCTGCCGGGGAGGGTGTCAAGGAGGCGTTGTTTGTGCGTGCTGTGCTTTCGTTTGTCGCCCCAGAGACCAGTGGTAGCAGCATCAAGGTCCTTGAGGACAACCAGGGGGCCATAGCGTTGGTGCAGAACCCCCTCAGCTCAGGTCGCACGAAACACATCGACGTGAGGTATCATTTCATCCGAGGATTGTTTAGGTCGGGGGATATTTCGGTCAAGTTTGTTCCGACAACGGAGCAACACGCGGACCTCCTTACCAAGGCCCTTAGCAGGGTCAGTCTGCAGTACCACCGGCGCAAGCTGATGAATTTGCCGGAGTAGATGTAGCAGTTTTTAGCACTTGCCTTGGATTTTTTGGTAAGTGCGGCCGTTGTAAGCCGCTGTGATAGCGACGGTTTTTTGTGGTGGAAGGGTTTTTCCTTGAGGGGTTTTGCCCGGACGCCGGGTTTCCCCTCCATATGTTACCATGTTGGTATTTTCTGATGTATCCTGGGGCGTTCTTGCCCAATTGATGGTTAGTCACTTGCGTGAAGAACCAGGGAGGGTGTTCGTGAGTCTGCGAACATTGCTGTTGGATACATGTGCTGGATGATTTTGTGTCACGCAGACTGGTAAGATAACCGTTTGATAGGGGGCACCGCGATGATTCACGGGGCCCCTCCTTGCTGTGGGAGCCGCTCTTTGAGCACTCCCTCTTTCGTCCGTGTGAAGGATGGTCGCCTACCTCCCGTGAAGTTAATACATCACCAAAACAGCCTCACCCGATAAATAAGTGGCGTAGGCCGCAAACATCCCACACTATAAGGAAAGAAGAACTAGCTCGGAAATACTGTTGTTGTGTTTGCTTGTTCGTTGGTGGTCTCTCCACCGTGTGCCTTTTTCTGTCTCTTTTTTCTTGTTATTTTCGGCCTGGTCCCTTTTTGTCCATGCTCTTTTTTTTTCCTTATCTCTTTCCTTTTACTGTTTCCATTCATTTTCTTCTCTTTTTCCCTGTTTCTCTCTTTTTCTGTGCCAGATGGCCTTGTCTCTGCTTGCGTTGTGAAGTACCAAGATTTATCCAAGGGGGTGTACCTCGTTCTCTCCGGCCCGTGATGGTGACTCCTAGTCTCAGTTGTTACCTCGCATAGCGCGCAGAGGGAGTGGAGGACTCCAGAATATCTGTCTTTGATATCTATTGACTTGTTGACCCTCGGAGCCATTTTATTCGAGTGTACCTTTTTAGGGCAAGTTAGCCTGCGACCACGGGAATCGCCCGCGTCGAGTGTTGGATCAGTACGGACATACGAAGGTACTGGGTAGATAGAAAGGGATCGGAGGTTTTAATGTGAAGACAACAACAACAACAAGACATGTGTGACGTGCACTGACTATTACTTCGGGACGTACGTGTGACCGCTGTAATTCTAGACAATATGCGTAAACACCCTGAACACCCCGGCAGTGTGTCGCCCTCCACACTGTGCGGTGATGTAACCGTAGCACCCTCTCAGGAACAACGCTGGACACACCCTGAACACCCTAAATTTGAGAAGTGGGTCAGTCCAGACTATGAGGCGTATGCATACGAGCTCGTGCAGTATACTTCGACCTGCGTTCTTTAGATATCTTCATACAAAACACCCCGACTCACCTTTTCCACAGGAAAGTTCGTGGTGACGTGAGCTGTTCACGTGTTGTACATACATACGTGAAATAGTGTAGTCTGCACGAAAAGAAATACAAGTGCATGTACTTGCACATCAGACGAATGCACGTACGGCATGCCTGCACTGCTGATGTGCACGGATGGGTGCATGCATGCTCCACGCCACGTTTCATCGAACAAGAGATATTATCGCACCCAACAATGCACCGCCGGACCGTGGCTACAACACCTGAGGTGCTTTGGTTCAGTATATATATCGACTCTCAGGTGTACCGTCTAGAAATACCGCAACCGATCTCACGCCGAGCTATGCACGAATAAATTTGTGACCCGCTACCTGACGGCGCCGTAAAATCAACTGTTGTTTCAAGTTATACTGTTGAAGCTAGACTACAACCCGCATGCAAGTACACGATTTGCTCGTTGCTTCGTAGGGCCTGTATGTTAACCTCTTGCCGTTCACTCGCCAAGGAAATCAACCTGGAGAGCATTCCACGACTACCAGCAACTTCCCCGATCACACGCACGCATAAAACAATAGGTCCGTTCTATTTTTATATGGAGAAAGTCCCCACCGCAGAGAAACCTACGACCTACGAAGCACTGTACTTCATACTTTCCAGCTCGTCCTTCTCCAAAAGACGTTGACTCGGGGTCAGCGGCGCGATGCTTCCTACCACCCGATCGAACTAATTCCGTCCCGAGACGGGGAGGGGTTGGGAGATGAGACTTGTTCTTCTAATTGCCTGAAGACCGCCACCTGCCGTGCGCGACAACACTTCCCCACACCGCTTCTCCTGGCAGCCAAAACTCGGCGGCGCATCAGGACCAGCGGAGAGTGTGGGTCATCTTCCTTCTCCTTGCCCCCCCAGTCTCCTTTGCATGTTCTGGTTCGATAGAGACGAGAGCAAACCACCAAACAAGTCAGGCCGAAGATGACGTGCCGGTACCTACCCCTCCCCCCCCCCCCCCCCCCCCCCCCCCCCCCCCCCCCCCNCCCCGCCCCGTCCATCGTCTCCCGTCTTTTCGCCATCCACCTGTCCAATGTCAATACATAAGTAAGAAGACGGCGCAGTCGCCTCCTTTTCCCGCTCAGGTAGACGCGTTTCCCCCCGTTTTACGTGACGGCCACATGGATGGCCTCAGGTAGGCAGGGACGGGGCATAGGCACGTTGGTCCCTGGAAACGCTGTAGTTCTCTTCTCGCTGGGTTTGGTGGACAGACCAAAAGTCAAAACATATGATTATCGGGCCTCGCCTGCCCACCCCCGCAAGCTTCTCCTCCCGTGACAGCCTTTTCGCTGCCACTTTCTCCTGCTGGATGCTTCTTCTTCTTCTTCTTCTTCCCCCTGCTGAGACAAAGCCTGCCCTAGTTCCTTAGCAGACGGTCACATCAAGGAAAAGGGGGGCGGGACCGCCCCCGCCTGGCTGCCCACCCCCCTCTCCATCTAGTCCTCTCTTAGCAGCCTAACTCGCTTCAGAAAGAAGGTAGGCAGCGTAGGGGGGTACTTGTCTAGTTGCTCCTTTTACCGTATGGTAGGGTGGAGACCATATCGAACGTGACCGTATACCCCCCCTCTCGTTGGCCCGACCCCATAAACCAATCAACGCTTGCCGTGGCCACCCCCCCACCCCTGGTCTGCGTTGCCACCGTCGAAAAGTCAAGGCATCCAGCAGATGCCCATGCCCGAAAATCAGCAGCGCTTTCGCCACCCCACGCTCCCGGTGTCTCCGTAGCCGCTGCCATCTACAGGTGAAAAAGACGAGCTACTTTTTCCTTCCACCGGCAAAGGACAGGCTAAGGCAAGCCGTTGACCTCCGCTCCGACACCCCCCTCGTCTGCTTTTGCCTCTACGGCGATTACCCTCGCCTCGCCCTTCGAGTTGGCCCGGCTCGCCTTGTCGAGCATGTCAGCGAGGTCTCCCTCCCCGTAGCGGTCGTCTCCTTTGAACATCTCCTCGTCCGCGATGAAGCATTGGAGGATGGTGGATATTGCCATGCCGAACACCTGGGGTCGCGTACGCCGGTGTTGTTGTTGTTGTTGTTGTTGTTGTTGTTGTTGTTGTTGTTGTTGTTGTTGTTGTTGTTGTTGTTGTTGTTGTTGTTGTTGTTGTTGTTGTTCTGTTGTTGTTGCAACCGCTGTTGCATTTACCTTCGCACTGAAAATATTGACTGTTTATACCAAGAAGTCCTCTCCTCTTCCGTTCGAATCGTGTTGGGTTAGGTTAGCGTCGGGTTGAGATGACTTCTACCTCTACATTACCGTTCATTTGAACACGGTGCTCGAGCGACCCAAGACGATCGTTCGTGCATCAACCCGTGCTCGGACAGGATTTCCGCCGACGTTTGGGGTGTGAGTGACATATAACAGCGGATGGGGCGGGGGCGGGGGCGTACTCTTATGTTTTGCATGCCTTCGCGGTTAAACCATTGACTACGCGTCCTGGAGAGGATGGAGCATTATTCCAGCAGGACCGATCACCGATGACCAATCGTTCCTTCCTACTTTGCCAAGGCGGCTCAATCATGGCTTACCTAATCTATCTATCCTGTCGCGGACAGGGGGGATACCATTGGCGACAGGACAAATCCATGGGAAAGAGGTTCCGTCTCTGTTCCGTGGTTTCTCTCTCAGCGTTGAACACTCATTGTAGATACTTTCCTCACGTCTGCAGCCTTGCTGGCCACTACACACGCGTCTCTCAACGCTCAACACGTGCTTGTAGAGAGGTTTCCTCACCTGTCAACTTGTTGGCCACCCCCCCCCTCCCCTGTTCGCAAAATTTGAATAGGTTGGCGTCGCGTGGCACCGACGCTGTAAAACAAGCCACCAGACCCTAGACATGAAATAAGTGAACTAACCAACTATTTATTTTTTCCCATACCGTAACACGAACCCGCCAAGCCAGACATGAAAGAGCTGAACTAACCGACCTTTTATTTTCCCATACCGTAAAATAAACCTGACAAGCTAAACATGGTAAAACTGAACTAACCGACTTTTTATTTTCCCATACCGTAACACAAACCTGACGAGCCAGACATGAAATAACTGAACTAACCAACTGTTTATTTTTCCCATACCGTAACACAAACCCGCCAAGCCAGACATGAAAGAGCTGAACTAACCGACCTTTTATTTTCCCATACCGTAACATAAACCTGACAAGCTAGACATGGTAAAACTGAACTAACCGACTTTTTTTTTTCCCATACCGTAACACAAACCTGACGAGCCAGACATGAAATAACTGAACTAACCAACTGTTTATTTTTCCCATACCGTAACACAAACCCGCCAAGCCAGACATGAAAGAGCTGAACTAACCGACCTTTTATTTTCCCATACCGTAACATAAACTTGACAAGCTAGACATGGTTAAACTGAACTAACCGACTTTTTTTTTTCCCATACCGTAACACAAACCTGACGAGCCAGACATGAAATAACTGAACTAACCAACTGTTTATTTTTCCCATACCGTAACACAAACCCGCCAAGCCAGACATGAAAGAGCTGAACTAACCGACCTTTTATTTTCCCATAAAGTAACACAAACATGACAAGCCAGATATGAAGTAACTGGATTCAACGAAATACATTTCCAGACGCTTACCATTTTTTTTTTCCTTTTCATAGTTGAAAACGCAAAAGTAAGCAAGAGTAGAAGGTTATTGGCCACCTTACACACCAACACGAAAACGGAAACGAAGCATAAATATAGACACAGCAATCCCTTTGGTCAACTGTGCGATGCACATGAAGGTGGGGGACTCGTGGTGAGATAACTGTAAAACATTACCGGATCCCATGGGGCGGTGGGAATCTGGTCAGACACTATCCTCAATTGTCCGCAAGGAGAGCGGTGGATAATGCAAGACAAACTGTCAGGCCTAACATACTCAAGAACCTTCTTCTCAAATGACCGACCAAATGACCCAAAAGAGAAGGAGCACCAAGCGGTACGTAGATATCTTGAAGCTTGAAGGATAGACGCCGGTACAAAGTGTGGGGGGATTGTTGGTCAAGCTTTCGGCAGCGAAGGTCTACTCGGGAGCGTTAGTGGGGTAGCTACCCATGGTGTACCGTACAAACGTTGATGACCATAACTCATTTATCAACCCTGGGTCGACTTAGACCGCCATCAGGGAAGGTAGTGCTCTCTGGCGTCTACGAGGAGGAGATTTTTATGTCTGTATGTCATAAAAATCAAGGAAGAGACGGACATCCCGATGTGTGAGTGAGACCTTCTGTTATGCAAGCCACCCTTGAACCCTACATGGGGAAAATGACCTCCCCGGAGGAAAGTACCCAGTACAGCAGCTGGGGCAAGTAGAGAGAAGATACGGTCGTGGGACGCTTGGGTTGGTTACCATGCAGATCGCCTGGCACAAACTTGGGGTACTTGTGCTAAGGGTGTTGAACTTGGCTCCAGGCTATGAGCCCATGTTGGAGGCACTTTTTAGTGTCCGTGAGCCGGCAAAAGAATTGAAAGACACCAGACCCTCAACAAGTACTAGGATTGGGAAGTCCCAGTAATATGAAAGCATCCCACTTCAAACAAAAACAACGAGATAGTCTCGAACGAGCGAAGGAGGGAGACGACAAGGCACAAAGGGTGGAGAAGGAGAGAATGGAAAGGTGCAGTACTGGTAGTGTTGATATTTGGGGTCAATAACGACATGACAAGGTTGGAGTTCAAAAGTATATTTGAAGAAGTAGGAATATATTGCTTCGCACGGGGGGGGGTAGAAAGGGAAGGAAACCACTTTAGAATCACGTTTGGAAGGAGAGTAAGCGCGGAATGGGAAAGAGTGGAAGTAGAGAAGATGTCGGCGTGGGTGAGGAGACTAGGTTGGAGGGTGTGCATAGCAAATAAGATCCAGGAAGTAAGGCGTAGCCCAAGGCTGGCTGAAAACAAAGGGGGGCAGGAGGTTCGAAAGGATCAAAAGGGAAAGCAAGCCAAAG